AGAATTATGTTTTGTATAGTGATATTAATTTATATTTTCAGATCTTCCAAGGTGCCAATTATGGAACTCTCTGTGCATTGCTGCCCAAATCAAATTCTGGAAGTGGTCATTCAACTAGATCTATTACAAAAGGACAACTGATATTATCAACTTTTAAAAACTGTTACGGCCAGAGGTCTTTCTTCTTTGTTTATACTAAAGCATGGAATGACATTCCTCAAAACATAAATTCCATTTCAAAACTACAGCCCTTTAAGAAGAATCTTGTCTGCCATGTGCTGGACACTTTCTGTTGTGCTCATATTTAGACGTCCGATTTTGCAAATGCTGCCTTCCAGAAATTTGGTATGCTTGTTTGTCTTTGTGTCTATGGTGTATAATGATGTGATTGTGATGCTGTATTTCTGAGTGTTTTATGTGCTGCAGAACAGGAACCTGCTGTAAAACAGCAATTATGCTGAGTCAGGCTTGATTTTTAATAATCTTTTCCTGTTAAATAAATTAAACCAAATCAAATCAGTCATTTAGGAATTTGCAGATTTAAACAAACGCGTTTTTCTTTGGAACCTTTTTATATTCGGTGTCTGTTTCAAAAAATGATCTCTGCTGTTCAGTTGAGATTAAGCACCACTGCTGCCAAGGTGTGTTTAGGCGAACTGGGTTCATGTAGATGTAGAAGCTTTTAAGTTGTAAACCTGGTACAACATAGACTAAATATTAGTTCTAATATTAATTCAATCAGTCATAGATTGGAATTGGTGTTTCTGAAGTTGACTTAGAAATGTATTCTGAAGAAACGATACTGTTCCTCGTGGTTTCTACTACTCGAGGTGGCAGAGCTTAACCCTAACTTTACCCAGTCATTTCCTTAAGTATTAGAGTTTACTGGAAGAGCTAAATGCGTGCTGAGAGGAAATGCAACCACTGCAGAAGGTGTAGTTCTCAATAAAAAGTCTCGCTTCCTAAGACGTCAGAAGTTGTATTCAAAGGAAACACTTACATGAATTCTATAAAAAACTTTGAATGTTTCTTTAAAGCAACAGAGATTCAAAGGTACAACTTTTAGTTTTTTTTTTTACAATAAAATCCATGTTTTAATCTAGACTCATATTGTTAGGATTCATCCACAACAATAAATTAGTCGGTTTGTAACATTGCTTTCTAACTAATTGAAGCTATAATTCACACTGAGTCAATTCTGATTTTCCGTACTTGCATTGCAGAAGAGTGAGTCCTCTGCAGCCATGCGTGACTGGATTTGTTTTACAGTGTTATGAAGTAATCCCATGGATTTACTCACCTTTTATTTCTGGAATCACACAGCCACAGCAGGGGCTGTGCATGTTTGTGTGTGTGTGTGTGTGTGTGTGTCATGGAATAATTGGAATTCTGGACACACCTGCTGCCAGAGGAAAATAACAAAGACTGTTTAAAGTATTTTGGCTGGTGTTTACACGTGTCTGTCTCTGGATGCAGCCATAACATTTTCCCGGTGAGTGGTTGAGATGAAAGTGAAGACAGGATTTCAATTGGTCTGACCCAAGAATACAGAGAACTCGTGCAATCACCCGCAACAGATTCGAACACGCTGGGTTGCAGCGAGGCCTGTGGCAGATCAGGTTAGAGTCAAAGTGCAGAAAGAGGGAGAATGAATGATAGAAACAAGGACTGAGTATTTTAGGCTCGAGTGCCGGGTGATGGTTCAGTTCTGCTGACTCAGATGTTTGGGTTTTATTATTTTTCTTTCAAATATGTCTGGCACAATCCCTCTCTCTGAAAGAACGTCTATTAAATGYGTCCCAGAGCTTCCTTGGCCTACCTTATGACGGATTTTGACAAACTTTTTGTCTCTGACTTTAAAGGGAAGGGGCAGTGGTGTGCAGCACAAATCTAAATATTAGTTGCACCGACCCTAAAGCACCAACTAAACTATTTAGATTCCCAAATTGTAAAGCACTAACACATTGAAAAAAATTAGGTAAAGCTAATTCTAAAGCACTAAAATAACCCATTTTGATACATGAAACATTCTTCAGAGTCAACATGAGACAATATTTACTGTGCAGAATGTTGTCACTTTATGCCCTTGGTGGTCCAATTGGAAGTCCCCACAGGCCACATTTGGTCCATGGGCCTTGAGTTTGACACACATATGAACAAAATGTATGACAGCTTTCACCATCAGCTGTGAACAATAATGTTGATCAGTAAATTTATAGACCTCAGTTAGTGCTTCTAAATTTAGCCCATAAATTTAGCAAGTGCTAATCCACCAATGATTTTAGAAAA